ATCTAACAATCCGTTCTGGCAAAGCTCTGGGCGAGACTGTTCCAACCCCCACAATTGTCGGCATCGACAATATTTTTCTTCAGGGTACTGGGGGTCACAGGTGAAAATGTGGAATAAGAGACGGGCGGTTGCAGGTGAAAATGTGGGATAGGAAAGGGAGGGGATTGCAGGTGAATATATGGAACAGGAGAGGGGAGGGGTTGCAGCCGAAATACGGATAGGAGGGGGGGGGGGCGCAGGTGAAAATGCGGATGGGAGTGGGGGAGGGGGAGTTGCAGGTGAAACTGCGGGATACAAGAGGGGGGAATCGGGGAGATGATGAGCCGAGGAAGTGGTTGAATGACTGCTGTGTGTTGTGTATGGTGTGGTATGGGGCGCTCACATCATGTTTTTCTCTCTTTTTCCACGCTTGCACTGAATGACTATCGTCTTGTCTGCGCTGGTTTGTTTCTGTCCTTGGTGTGGTATGACAGGAGCGCCATCAGCGGCCTACCCTTACGCACGATGGCACCCGCCGTCGGGGCAGCAGCAACCACAGCAGCAGCAGCAGCAGCAACAGCCGGGCCATGGAATGGGCTGGGGTGGCCAGCAGCAGCAGCAACAGGGGGGACCTCCGGGCTACCAACAACACCATGTGCGTTTTTTGTCGAGCGTGGCTTGAGGGACGCTAAAAAATAGCCCCGTTGTTCTTCTTGTCAGACGAGGATAGACAGCTGCAATGCCGAGTGGTTAGTGACGCCCTTAGACGACACCCTACTATAGTTTTATCACGAGTATAGACAGCTGCATTTCGGCGTGATTGGGGGATCCCTTGGAGGATACTCTAATGTACTCTCTCACCGATAGGCAGTGACACAATAGCATCAAAGACTCTTGCTCGTGTCTTATGTACTCTCTCACCGACAGGCAGTGACACAATAGCGGCAAGGACTCTTGCTCGTGTCTTATGTACTCTCTCACCGACAGGCAGTGACACAATAGCGTCAAGGACTCCTGCTCGTGTCTTATGTACTCTCTCACCGACAGGCAGTGACACAATAGCGTCAAAGACTCGCCCACGCTTTTTTAATGATTTTTTTTGCTCGTGTCTTGGTTGGAGAACGAGGGCTCGGCATGCCGTCCGGGCTTCGGGGAGAGAGAGCACCGCCAAATTAGCGCCGTAGTAGTGTGGGAGAACGCACATCAGGTGTGCGGTCGATTGCTTCGCAACTACCCGAAGAGGGTGCTGTCGAATCCCGACCTCACCTAACCCTGCTGTGCGGTCGCCCACACTTTTGAAACAGTCATCGCACACTGCGTTCGCAAATGTCATTTTTCCGTCCGTAGTTTAAAATCCAGAAGAGAGACTTGCAGCCCCTGCACAGCACTCTCAACGGGCGCGTAGTACCGTCAACTTGGAGCACACTGTGTATCGTAACCGCAGCGTTCCTCGTGACCCCCCCCCTACACACACAGGAACCGGAAACGACTCAATACTGGAACCATGCATTCCTGTCTCTTACATGTAGTCGTGACGCCTGGTGCCCCCGAGGCTAACGCGAGCAACAAATGAGTAACCTCACCCACCCGCGGTCAATTGTCTTAACACCGAAGGCACGAAAAATATGAGTACGCGCCCCCCCCCCCCCCCCCCCAAAAAAAAA